GAATATATTCAGTCATTTGTATGTTGTCATAACAACAAAAGCTAAAAACTTGGGGACGACGTCAAAAGATCGATGTCGGATATGAAACTTAATTCCTTTAGTTTTTTTCAAACCTCCTCCTACCCCCCACTGAAACTTAATTGATAAATATTGGTCATGGCGTCAGACTACATTCACCATTAAATACAAATTCAGTGATAATCGGACAGTAGTATGACATAGCAGTTGGTTGTCGGGTGGGTGTAAAAAGACTTTACAAATGCACCTCATTTGACGCACATATTTACTCATGGACCAAACCATTTTCTCGTCTTGGATGTGTTTTTTTCCGTTTTCTGTTATTTCTGCCTATGATTGAATAGAAAAAAAACGAGCTACAAATACTCCAAGATTTTTTTGATTTCATTAAAAAATAAAATCGTTTTTGTAGGATGGAAACCTTTTTGAGGTCGAAACCCCCACCCCCAAGCTAAAGCAAATAAGTTTTTTATCCGACATCAATCTTTTGACGTCGTCCATTATGTTGCCCTCAAGTTGGAAAATTGAAAACTTGAATCGGTTGGTCAGATTTTTTTTTTTTTTTTTGAACTCGTGAAAACTAAGGGTATTGTAAATAGCCCAGGTATATAGACTTCATAATATTCGGAACATGGCAGAGAAATACAGATCAACCCGAGGTTCAAAGTCGCCACTTATCCCCCTGGGGACCATAGGGATAAAACAACGGTCCGAGATCGTTAATTTTTAGATTAGTTTTTATTACTATTAAAAAACCACAAAAAAAGTGACCTCATATTTCATATTTTTCAGTCAGTCGCTGAGGGCAACAAAACATTCTTTTTTTGGCCTAATTAAAAGTAATCTAAATATTTATATGCAATACTGTAAAATGACTAATTTTCACTGGGTTTAAATCTCACTGATTTACCATTTCAGGCATATTCAGTGGGTTTTAAATTCACGGTTTCATCATTTAGATAATGTGTTCAATGCTAAATTTCACATATTCACTGTGTTTTAATTTAGCGCATTTTTCCAGTCAGTGAAATAAGCTAAATTAAAACCCAGTGAATAATTACCCCCTTTACAGTACTTAATGCTATGCTGCCCTCACGAGTTAAAAACAGTTTTTACATTTGTTTCACTTACCAAAGGGGAATACAGCTTTTTGATTGAGGCACACTGAAAACTTGAGAGTGCGAGAGGGAAGAAAAAGGCAAAATTCAGACAATGAAGTCAATATGCTATTTATAGTACATGTTTATAGAAATCTAGTCTAGTACGATCAGTCACATGCTGCCATTTTCTAAAATGAGCGATAAATACAAAAGGAAACAAGCGTATTCAAATGTAAATTTTAGTCACCTTCCCCTGCCATAATGGTTTGTTCCAAAACAAAAAGGTATAAATTGACAACATCACACTCAATTGGATCAGATATTACACCACTTCAGTGGACATAGGACTCATTTTGTGGACACTGAAGGCATTGGCCAACTCCCTGATATCTTGATTGTACTTGTCAGCAGCCGAGGAACATCTGCCAAGTATTAACACACATAAGGTGAGTGTGAATGATACTGATTGCGATTATTTTTATAAGGCAGCTGAAATGGTTTCACTTTGTTAACTCTTAAGCATATTGTTAGGCATACATCATACATTCTAGTGCATGGGACTAAATAACACAAATTGTGCTACATTTGCATGATTTCAGTGTATGTTATAATCCCATGCTTACCTAATGAGACTCGGTATTCTCACAACAGGCCATAGCCATGCAGCCTCTGTATGAACAAATATGCCATCTCCTTCAGTTCTGCTCGTTGAACATTGCCCGTTCAGGCGGTGGCATTAGGATAAAACCATTTTTAATAAATTCGTTGGTCAATATTGAATAGATATAGGTGAACGTTTCTAAAAATAGAATCCTTTGTGAAATTCTTTCGTCTATTAGGAAAACAATCTTAAATATACAAGAATAAATCGTAATGTGATAATTTTACACAAAACATAATTTGCTATATTCTCTATTTTCGCATTTTATTTGCCTTGAATTATGACTGAAAGAAAATGAAAATGTATCGCTGACATTTTTTTTCTCTTGAAATTTTCACAATCTGATGGTTGATGGAAGATGGTTGACTGCCAGAAATATTACTTTTAACCCTACCACTAGAACTAATAAAAAAAATGCACGAATAACATATCCTGTTTAATTTCTGACCATATATTTAGATTTTCGACGAGTCGTATATTACATATAATTTATGATGATACTAGACCAGCAAATTATTCACTTTCAATTACTAGCTATGCTTTTGGTCCATATAACTTTATTTTTGGTATGGATAGCATTTCTACTAATTCCAACGATTTACAATGACTTGTTCATTCATATTACGTACACTGTATATACTGAAGACAAATTGGATGTTTTGGTGAGACGCATAAAATACACTTACCCGGTACATGCTATGTATAATAACTAAATCATCCATATAATGTATTCATTATATCTGAGTGCAATGAAACTAATATTTTATTTTAAGGTGTATGACTATATGCAATTTATGATTAAGATATCATATTTTCAGTCTGTATGATGTCATTCTAATATCCTTTACATTTTACAGGCAAAGTGCTTGACATATAATTGGTGGACAGTAGTAAACGTGATGCCTTTAGATGATTCGGAATAATTGAAGGACACCGTAGATAATGGAGAACAGTACTTCGGTCAGTGTATTGTTTTTGTGGTTAAATGTGTTGATTATAATTAATGATAACATTATTGTCACACATCTTAAACATTATGTATTCATTCTACTTTGCATTATACACCCCCTCACTGTAATGTTAAATTTCATGTAAAAAACAAAACAAATAATTTGAGTGTAATTGTGTTTTGAAAAAAAATAATTGTTAGGAACTGTGTATTTGGATGTTGTGGTTGCTTCTATTTCAGAGTAATTTGTATGTGTAAGAAACAGTAACAACAACTATTCATTCTAATTTTTGTATATATTAGAGCAGAAAAACAGGACAGGAAGAAAACACTGGGACCAGGAATAAAAATGACGAACAAAAGCCAGATGCAAGACGAGTGGGCGATCCCGTCTCCACACTTGGGAAGACACAGGATATGGCTGATAAACAAAAACCTAAAAGTGCAGATCAGGTAAAAAGATATGTTGTATTGCTGTGGTTACAGTGTATTGTACCAGAACTGCCTTCAACTAGACAATTAGAATAGCATTAATTCATGGTGAACGTACTGCTGGTATTTCAATCTCAGATGTATTCACACTTCCTGGGGTCATGTTCACAAAAAAAAGGGAAAAGTACGCCTCCAGTTAGAAAACAATTAAAGAACATGGACGCACTTTGGTAATTTCCAAAAAAGTACCTTTGCATATTCATTAGATAGACTATTGTTTTATGTTTCAGGGCAAAGACACCAGAAGTGGACGACACCCAGGTGCTAGAAGAAAAGTGTACAAAGAGGACAGAACAGGACGTGTTCTCACTGCACAGAAGATTCCAACACACCAAGTAAGAAACAGTTATATAGTTAGGCGTGTCAGAAATTGTTTACTACTATTACTACAAAATT